TTTTGATGTTGTCAAACGTCTGCCGTAAATGGGGATTATAACGGCAACACTCAGGCGACTAGGTCCACTTAGTAAGGGAAGCTTTCAGTACAAGACTGGGAATGTCCCCCCATTAAACATAGGGAATATGTCTTTGTTGTTTACAAGGCCTCTCGAAGAGTAAGACTGTGAAAATGCATGGTCGTGCTCAGATGGATTTTTGAAATCATCTGTTAATTGGCAGTCAAACACGGGAATCGAGAAACCCTTCTGGACATAATAAGGATGACGAAGAATCTTACCTTATAGTTCATGAAGAGACATTAAGCGACATAGGAATAGGGTTATACACTAATTGCATACTTGTCCGGAAGGACGAGTGGAAGATTGAAAGGAATGGTGTCCTTCCAACAAGTGTATTATTCCGATAGAGGGTTTGGAATTATTAGAAAGCTAATTCTTCAGTGAGGTCAAGTGATCGGAACGCCTAGGTGGAGGCCGCTTCCAATCAGTAACATTAATGCATAATTAAAATTACGGCTTAATCTTGACTGAACCCTTCGGGTCGCACCACAATCGAATAACCGATCCGAAACGACAAAAATCAATCCGAAGGATTAGATGAGTCATTAGAGTATTACGAACAAAGACGTCAGTTATCGAGTTTAGAGCGTCGAGACCGAGCGTCGCAAGTCGAGTCGAATTTAGAATTCGATGAGACGTGAAATCAAGCAAGCGACAAGTTTGAACCTAGCCGTAGCCTCGCACTGGCCTAGCCATGCAAGTGCTAGGCTAGGCGAGGTCACCAACCCATGCGCATCATGGGTGCCTAGCATCCCTAACACACGCACATCGCATGGCACAAGCATCGCAAGATGCATGCATGCGTGTGTGTGGTGTGATTGTGCATGCGTGGCTAGGCGTGCTAGCATAGCAGCGCTAGCCATCGCATCGTTCTAAGCATGAGCTAGCACAACCCGCAAGCATCTCAAGCATGGTGCGTTGCGTGCTTGCTAGCATGCTAGGCCAAGCACCCAGCCATCGCTAGCACCAAGCATCGCACATGCTAGCAACGTGTTGCGCATGCAAGTGCTAGGATGTGCGTGCTTGCTAGCCAAGCTGGAGCAGGCATCGATGCTGGAACACTCCCTTCTGTGCTCGATCCGACCGGGCATGCTGAGCCCGATCGGGCACAATTATAAAATCTGCTTTTTGCTTCTTGTTCTTCAAGGATCGATTCTTGTTCAGCTTGGTTTTACATCCTTGTTCACCAACATCTCCAATATCGCTCAAAACGTGTCCGAATCATCTGGGAAACTTCAAGTTCCTGTAAAACTTATGAAAATGCACCGAACACACTAGAGAAGAGAATGTCAGCGGAAAATGGCTCTAAAGAGCCTAAAACCATACAATAATGTAATGAAAAGTCGGGAAAAACATACGTATAAAACGTGTATATCAGCATGTTGTGCTTGCGTGCCAGCGTAGGGGCACCAAGTAGCAGCACGCTATGCGTGCTAGGCCTCGCATAGCAGCAGCCCAGCACCTTGCATAGCAGCGCATAGGCAACAGCCAGCATGCGTGGCTTGCTAGCAGCACGCATGCATAGGCTGTGCTGGCTGGACAGCCTAGCCTTGGTGCTAGGCGGTAGCTGGCAGTCAAGGCAGGTTGCTAGCCAGCCAAGTGGTGGAGTGGTCCGATTTTGAGTGGGGACCGATTTAAAGGCCTTGCTTGATGAGCAAGGTTATGGTCCCCCCCCCCCTTGAAATGGTCCTCACCTAATTCTTCCTCACCCATTGCCACTTGTAGCTTGTTGATTGATTTAGCATTTTATTTTGTTTTTGATTAAAATAAAATAGAGGAAAATGCAAATCTCCAACATTGATTAAGAATGGGAAATCAAGGTTCATTGCCCTATAACTGGGGATTTGGGGGAACACTTGAGTGGAACTAAAAAGGCATCTCCTTAGTAAAGAGAGAAAACATTAAGTTCGTAATACTCTAGTTTTTATTGGTCAAGTCCCGACTAACCTTCGGGACTAGGACCGTTCGGGTCGGGTCGAGGGTGCGAGCCGTAGGAGGCCGTCGCACTTGCGAGGCTCGGGCTTTGAAGTAAGAGCTCGTGAATCGAGCGAAGCACGCGTCAAGGGTAAGAATGTCTTTTCTTTTTCTCTCTTTTATGTTGTTAATTACGTGATTAAATAATTAGTTGCTTTAATTAGTGAGCGGGTCTTGGGCGGGTTTCTCTTCCGCGTAGCTTTGGACGCTATGAAACCGAACAATATTATAAAACCCTAAACCTAAAATGAGTCCGAAATAGCTGAAACGGTGCCCAAATGTCACATGTTTTTAAAGAAAATAGTATAAAGATGAATTTTAAAGACTTTACCAGAAAAACCATCTGCCGTGCCACGGCAGAAATATTGTGTCGCGGCAGTTTTGCTTTATCCGATTTTATCTTTTTACGCATCTTTGACTTTAAAACTGATAGAATTAGGTAACGCGCCCCATTAGCATTACCGTGCCACGGTATTTGTACCGTGCACACGTGCACAACAATTAGTACCGGCCACGGCAACCTTTCCTGTGTCACGATGCTTTATTCTTCCGCGGCGCTTCATTTTTAAGGGTTCCGGACCTCACCCTTCACATTTCTTCTATAAATACGAACAGTTTCGGGGCACCAATTCATACTCTCTTTCTCTCTTATGCTCTAGCCTAAATACTTGCCTTCCTTATTCACACAATTCATCCCTTAAGCACTCCTCGGAGTCCGTACTTTACCCGAAGTTCTATACTTAAACCAAAGCGTGAAAATGTAGAATTGTTTGAGGATCTGGCCCCAAATCAACTATACTTTTATTTAATTTAATATCTATTTTATTGTTTATTTTCCTTAAAGTTACTAACGTGTTTATTATTTTATAGTTGCAAGCAAACACAATCAAAGTAAGAAATCATGTATGTTTCTTTTGTTCCTATTATACTCCTAATGATTTTTATTATATTCGACATATGTTAATTGTTAGATTTTTGGTTAAATTGCTTCCAATGTTAATGTTTTTCTATTATTGTATTGATCACCATATTGCATGTTTAAAGGGAATATGTAATTGAAAATCACACTTAATAAGATAATCTGGACGACCGATTTAGGAACCTTTTTAATCTTGTTGTTAATTGAAGTGATCACTAATAATTAGAATTATAAGTTGCATTAACATTCAACCAATTTAGCTTAATATTAGTTTGAAGCAAATTGAATCTTTGTATTGTGAGCATTTGAGATCGCAGGAAATATTTTTCACTACAAGAATCAAGTAGAGGCCAATACGGTGAATATGACTCCATGACTCACTTCGTACCATCATCCCCAATCCTCCTTTCGTGGTTCCGAACCACATGGAGTTTGTAATCTCATGGATTATGAATGGGGTGTAACCTTCATGGGTCAATCGTTGTCTCTTTATCGTGGTTGCCTTAAATGATCCACGAACGATTTACAAGTTCCTTAAAAACTTGTTGGCGGCTCCCTACTTTCCTTGTCCCTAATCATATAAGTCAATTCCCACATCCTATGATTGCCAAACATATTAACACATGTTTAAATAGGCGCGTTTCAATCGTCGCCTACCGGAATCAACATGTATTTTTCCAACACTAACAATTACAATACTTTATTAATTTATTGTTATCACCTACATGTTAATTTCATCATAAAACCCCATTATAAAAAAGAAAATTATTCAAAGCAACATTTTGGGGCAACGTTAGGGTCACATACAAGTTTTATTAGTAATCACCGTACTTTGTATAAGAACTAAAATAGTTTACAAGATTTTATAATCAAAGTCATGTTCAAGGATAAATTATTCTATTGTCTTTTTGTTAAATTTTTATATAATAACTTAATGTTGTTTAAATTAATATTTTTGGTTATTAACTTATTACCTAAACCATATGTATGTATATATTTCGTTTGACAGGATAATAAGCTGTCTATACTTTTTTGTTCTCTCTTTAAAATCAAATTGCACTCTATACTTTATAATCCAATTGTTGACTAATTGTTAGTAGACCAAATTTGAGATTGATTATCTTTTAAAAGGTCAATCCCAATTTTAAATTAAAGTTATTTTTCATAATTTGCCACTAAAAGAAATGAATTAAACTATAGGTAGAATGCTCAAAAAGTCGTTGCATTTCAACAACATAAGGAAGGTTTGAAAGCCAGGTTCAGCCAATTCAGGCAGAGTTGAAAAAAAAAACAATAAAAGCATTGATAAGAAATAAAAGCTCAACCGGAGCATCCGGTTACCAGTAAAAAAAAACACGGCAATTTCACCAAATGATACTGAGTACTTAAAAAATTAACCAAATGCTATCGTGTTTTTTAAAATTCATCAAATGTCACTGAGGCTTAGTACAATATCACCAAATGTCATTTCCGTTAGTTGACCGTCACTGTCCGTGAGTTGACCTCACCACTTGCCATGTGTCACCTTTTGATTGGTCCGTTTTTTTAAAAAAAACAAAAATAATTCAAAAAAATTTTTAAAAAATTATAAATAAATAAATAACTAGAACACCACCAAATCCCCACCCCACCCCTTCTACCACCAGCCAGCCCACCCAAAACCCCCTTCCCCTCCCCTTTTTGTTTCCAGCCACCCACCCACACAACCACTAGGCGAAAATAAAAATTCCCCACCGGTTAAAATCCCCCATTTCGCACCGGTTTTGAACCGGGTCGGATTTGGGGGTGCTAAAACCAAAAGATTTCGCACCGGTTCAAAACCGGTGTCAAAAACCGAACTTTTCGCACCGGTTTTTACTTAGAACCGGTGCCAAAAGTCTCCAAAAAAATTTTAAAAAAACTTTTAGCACCAGTTCTTTCCAAAACCGGTGCCAAAAGTGCCCCAAAAAATTAATTTTTTTTTTTTATTTTTTGCATTTTTTTCACTTAAATTATACCAAATACTTATATATAATCATAATATACATAAAACACATATATTTGCCTCAATAACTTGTAATATTACACTTTAAAAAACTAAAAAAAAAATTTACATATAAACACTAACATATATATTTTCTTCAGAAACAGCATATTGTCTGAGTTCCAGCAGGAGCTATCCTGGTCTTGTGCTGGTGGTTGCTCTGCTGGCTGCTGTGTTGTGTGTTCAGGCTGACAGGCTGCTCTTCTGTTTGATATGCGACTGTTTTTGTTCTGGCTGCACTGATGTGTAGTAGCCTCTCCTGTCATGTGCATAGATGAAGAACTCTTTCTCCACCCCGGAAGGCTAAAACTTAGATGGAAACTCGAGGAAGATTTTTGTATATACCATCACATCACATTTCTCTATGGCTTCTGTCTTCCACCTCTGTTTCAGACACGGAAAGTCATTATATAAGAGAAATACATTACAACACCAATGAAATAATAAGGAAATGAATACATGACCGTTAGTCTGTTACAGCATTTCACAATCTCAAACTAAATTTTAGGCCATTAATCACTAAAATAATGAAACTTATACTTCAAACTCCTATTTCTCAATCTGAAAATGACATTATTTGAAATTCTCATGTACTATAGTGAGATAGTTGTACCTATCTCACAGATTTATGGGTCCACAGGGCAGGCCAGAATGCCTGCAAGTTTACCAACAAGATAATATTTAGCTTTTGAGAGTGGTCCAATTATTAATACTAGTTCGTTGCACCCACAAAATTTCTTTTCCCTCAAATTCTAAATCTTTATCAACTTTAAAGTTAATACATCTTCTATGAGGTGATGGACTGCAATGACATTAACTAAAATCAGCCATATAAGGTAGTCATGGCTACTCTTTCAGGTTGTGGGTTGCTAAAAGGCCAGATAAAACTTTGAAAAAACCACAGAAAGCTGCTGAATACACGTTGACACAACCGTGACTGCTATTTAGAACTCCGTATTTGATTAACTCATACTTGGTAGTTCACTTGTAAGATCTGAAAGACTTACGAATCAAATGTCAGAAACTATGCAAGTCCACAGCAGAGGGCAGCTTAGCCAGGGACTTAGCCTATTGTGGACCATGTATCCTAGCAGTAATAATACTATCAATGGTTATTACTATCCTTCAGCACATTGTGCATATTGGAAACTAATATCACAAGAGTATTGATCAACGAAAAACACGAGATTATTTCAATTCCAGTGTTTCAAAATGATTTTAATTGAAAGCAATCATAATAAAATTTCCAACTTCACTACAAATGTTAATTAACATCCCACTAAAAACTACTACCTTCAATATATGTACACAAAACAACTAAATTGACCAAATTGAGAGCAGTACATTGGTTTTATTTAAGTGGTCAGATAATAATCATAATAAATAACGAAGACGAAGCAAAAGCTTTTAGTCACCTGGATTAAATTGCTCCCCTTTGATAAGATCAACTGCTTTGTACTCATATTGAAGTCCTACAGCATGATCAAGCTCAAATTAGTCCAAATTATAATCAGAATTTGCAATTAATTGAAAATGCTAAATAAGTAAAATATTGGAGGGAAAAAAAATTAAGGAAAGCAAAGATAAAACCTTTTAAGTTTAAAGCAAATCGAACGTGCCACGAACAAGGACTTAGCCAAAAAGAGTAAAGCACCCTACTTGTTGATGCTGAAGATGAACATGATTCAGTAGCTTTCATCTTTGATGAAAAATATTTGATAAATTGTCAATAAAATTCCAAAAAAATACTAGTAAAAGAAAACAAAAGTATATATTAAATGCCAAATTGCAGAACGTTGTGGGGAAGCATTAATCTTGCAGAGGTTTACATCCTTCGGATTAAATGCTTACTCAGACCTAGATAGGTAAAATTAAAATAAGAATAACTGCAAATCTTTACTGCATTATATCAAGAAAGCCACGAAACATTATTTAAAAAAAAAAACATATTTCAGTCATAATATTTGAGATCATAGTATCATACCCAGCGACATAATGCTCAGTTGAAGTTGACAAAGAACCATATCTCCTACATGTTTTATTTCCTGTTCTCCTGAGAATAAAAAATGTGAAAGAGATTTACTATCTCGTTACAGATAACAGAATTCAAGGGTTTCCAGGATCACCCTACATAAGAGAAGACTCGTACAAATGCAAATAAAAAACCAGTCTCCCTTGTACTCCAGTCATAGCTGAGTAATTACAAATTCAGATGGACAAACAGTAATAACGACTTCAATTTTCAAAGACCAATCAGACCAACCAACTACTGAAAATATTCCTATTAGCAAGTCGAAGCAATACCAAACCAAAAGTTTTAACAATCGGAAAACCATGATAGTAATCATCCATGAATGCACCTTGAATTCCATTAACAATTATGAAACCATAACATTCTCAGCATAACAATTGAAATAAGCCTCATCAGGCTACACAAATGCAACGACAAAAACTTAATCATCAACAAAATTCAATCAAATTTCGTTTCATGTTCTTCAAAAAGGCCTTCTAGGGTTTACTAGCACATACCAACAACAACAATAACAATAACACAAATTGTTCAATTTAAACAAATGCAACGTGTTTAAGGTGGTAGCTACAATTTCACCTGGGTGAGCTGATTCTGTGGCTTTACCAATAGGCGATTCCTTCTGCAATACCACATGAAATTAAATCATTACTTCGAATTATGAACCCTAAAATTAGAATTTCATAAAATTAATTAATCAACCCAACAAGGGTGTTCCAATAATAATGTGATATTATCATGTTATATTCAATCCATGCTTCATTTTTCATCAAATCTTTCACTACAACAAGCAACATATCATCAAAGCACTAATATTAATTTACCCATACTATTTAAAATAAAAAGCACCCAATGAAATTATATGCAAATTAAACAAAAAATTAAAATTTTAAATGATTTGAGCTAATTAAAAAAAAGGAAAGAAAGAGAGAAAGAATGAACCTTGGTAGTGTAGACTTTGTCGCCATTATCGTTGATGTAGAATTGCAAATACATTTTTGATAATTTGTTTAACCTACCCAATGAAAAAAAAAATCAAACCACACAAACAAAATATCAGGAATTAGATAAATTAAAAAACACTGAAATTAATGTTGAATAAAAAAAAAGCTGCGATTTAGAAGAACAGAAAAAAACTCACTGACGAAGTGGTTTTGACGACTGTACTGTTTGTCCAACCGAAACCCCCACCCCTTTCCCTAACCCGAATCCGCCGTAGACTCGAAACCCCTACCCCTGAAACCATTCCCTTACCCCCAGAATTTGTGAATTTGTGTTTTTCCTATAAAATAAAATAAATAAACTACAATTCACAAATAAGCAACCAAAATTGACTCAATTATCAAACTAGACTCCAAAAATTACGTTAAATTCTTCGACTTTCTATAACCAATAGTTCAATTATCCAACTTCGAATAACCCTAAATTGAGTATATACTAACAATTAAATACACGATTAACACTAGATTGTCAAATTAATATTAGATGATTAAAGAAAAAGAAGCATCTAACCTTAGAGACTGCTTCAATGGAGGAGAGAAAGCTCAAAAGCCCCTTCAATGGAGAATTTCGAGTACGCTTAAATGGAGGAGAGAGAGAGGAAGGAGTACAGCGAGAAACACTTAAATGGAGGATGGAGAGAGGAAGGAGTACAGGGAGAAAGATATGAAGGAGTACAGAGAGAGAGGAAGGAGTACAAAGAGATTCATTTTAAAAGAGGAGAGGGAGAGGAGAGAGAGGTAGCTCAGACGAGAGAGGAGGAAAGATCGAGGAATTGAAAGAGAAAGAAATAAGAATATAAGTGGTTTTTTTTAATAACAGTTTTCCCACCGGTTTGAAATGAACCGGTCCGAATTACTCACTTTTCCCACCGGTTTTCTTAGAACCGGTGCGAAAAACATACTTTTCCCACCGGTTTGGTTAGAACCGGTGTGAAAAGTCTTTTTTCCAATCCCGCCCATTTCTTTTCCCACCGATTTTCAAGAACCGGTGCGAAAAGTGCGGTGCCTATTTCATTTTTTCTACTAGTGAACCCTCACCCTCAAAATCCGGCAGCCCCTCTCCCCTCCCTTTCCTCGCACCCCCTTGACTCCGGCAGCCCCTCTCCTTCACTGCTCCCCTACTCTAATTCAAACATCAGCCACATCCCACCAGTCGCACCTAGCAGTCGACCAACCACTACAACCTACCAATTCACACCCACCAATTCCTGCTGCCACCCTCACCGCTGCAACAAACCACAAGCAGCCCACGCCAACAACAATAGCAATCGGCGCAATTGTAGCGGCAACCACCAACTCTCACACCACGGCCACCACCAAACAATAGTACTCCTTGCAATAACCATTACTACCTAAAAATCTCCAGCCACCCACAACCACAATCACCGCGGCAGCACTAGCACCTTGCAGCCCCTGGTATTTCCGGCTTCCAATCGCATCAATTCGCCACCCAATTACAATAATTGCGACGATATTGGGGTTTTGGGGATGCGATTTTGGGGTTCTGGTGGTTGCGTGGGGTTTCGGTGATGGGGGAAAACGACGACTCAAGGGGTGGGGGGAGACGCGGCGGGCTAGGCTACGGTGGTGGAGGTTAGGGTGGATCGGTGGGGTGGCGGGCTGGGCTGTGGTGGTGAAGGTTAGGGTGGATGGTAGGGGAAGGGGAAGCTGGAGGTTTTCTGATATTTTTTTTTAAAAATTTTTTGAACAATCAAAACTTTTATGGTTTATTTTTTAATTTTTGTTAATTTTTTTTTTAAACGGACCAATAAGAAAGTGACAAGTGGTGGAGTCAACTAACGGACACTGACGGTCAACTAACGAAAATGACATTTGATAATATTGTACTAAGCTTCAGTGACATTTGGTGAATTTTGAAAAATATAATGACCTTTAGTGAAATTTTTAAGTAGTCAATGACATTTAATGAAATTGTCGAAAGAAAAAAAAACAATAATAGAAGTACGCCCCAACACCACCATCCACAATTATAATCTGGACTATTCTCACATTAAAAGCTGTTAAAAGGTCAACCCTTACCTCTCTGTCCCCAACCATCCCTCCAATTTTACCGACCCTTTAATCCAACGGCTCTCTTTTCACCTTTTTGACTCTTTCTTACATTTCTTTAATCATAAACTCCATTATTTGTTTTTTATTTCCTTTTTTTCTCCCTTCCAAACACGGTCTTCCCTCGATTTTCGTTTTTACTTTCATTGCGTGGGTCCCAAAAACAAAGAAAATATAAAATAATATTAATAAAAAATGTTAGGAGAAGTGCGTGGTCAAATGTACCGGACATTTCTTTATACGTAAGACTCTTTGAGAATCTGAACAAACTCCTTTGACACGTGTTGAATAACTATTTGTTGATTTGTTTGACTATCAAATGAATTGAAACGACAATATCAGTTGAGTCATCCGATGCCATCCTTCACTATGAAGCCGATCATCTAAACATTTTGACCCTCTCTTCTTCTTTCTTCCTTTATTATTATTTTTCTTTTTTTCTTCTCTTTTTAGAGCAATTCTTCAACTGGCCTGTGAAGATGATGATAGGAGCTTACAAAAGTAGTAGCGATAATTTCGCTGCTAGGATGGAAGAAAATGCGGTGCGAGAAGCGGCGGCCGCGGGTCTTCAGAGCGTTGAAAAGCTCATCAAATTACTCTCACAAAACCACCACCACCATCTTCAACACGAGCACCACCAACAGCAGCACCAGCAAAAGCAAGATGATTCCACCACATCGGATCAGAATCAAAATCAAGATGATTCTGATTCTGATTACAAGGTTGTTGCTGATCTCGCTGTTAATAAGTTCAAGAAAGTTATCTCCCTCCTCGACCGCTCTCGCACCGGCCATGCCCGCTTTCGTCGTGGCCCTCTTCACCACCTAACCGCACAACAAGCACAGCCACCGCCACCGCCACCGCCACCGCCACAGCAGCAGCAGCTGAAGCCGTCGCACGGCTCTGCTTTTACAAGGGTATATTCGTCATCTCAGATCCAAAGATTACCACCTCTTCCACATAATAACCACCCTCACCATAGTCAACCCCAGCCCCTTGGTCTACCAAAACCAATAGAGCGCAAAGATTCATCTACTACCATAAACTTCTCATCGTCGCCTCCAATTTCAGCGACTAATTCGTACATTTCGTCGTTAACTGGTGATACCGACAGTGTACAACCGTCGATGTCTTCTGGGTTTCAGATTACCAATTTATCCCAGGTTTCATCCGTCGGTAAACCCTCTATTTCTTCATCATCTTTGAAGCGGAAGTGTAATTCCATGGATGATTCCAAATGTGGCGGATCTTCTGGCCGTTGCCATTGCCCCAAACGAAGGTACTTTTCAATTTAATTTTTTTGCTATAATTTAATCATCTTTCTTATGCATTCCTTCGAAAATAAATAATGATCCGTTAAATTGTTTGACTTTTTTTGTTAGATCTTTCAATTTATTTTTTTTTTAATAAAAAAAAATGCTCCGTTGAATTGTTTGACTTTAATTTTTTGTTAAATTCATCAATTTTCACTGTAATTACTTATTAAATCAGTAGGTTGTTTGATAGATTTTATTTCTAGATGACTTCCTATGAAATCATGAATAATAATCTGGGAATATGTTATCTAATTACTCTGTCACTCTGTGTATTATATTGTATGTTAAAATAAATTGTTTGTAATTCTTGTGTTAAATTCAATAAAAGGAAACTGAAGTCAAAATTTTAAAATCTGGGAAAGAAAAGTTAGATAAAATTGTAAATTTTGCTGATTGGGGTTGACTTTAATCAGGAAGTCAAGAATGAAGAGGGTGGTTAGAGTGCCAGCAATCAGTGTTAAAATGGCTGATATTCCACCAGATGACTATTCATGGAGAAAATACGGTCAGAAACCAATCAAAGGATCACCTCACCCAAGGTTAGTTCGTAATTAAATTCGTCTTAATTTATGATAGAACATGGAGTTTCAATTCAACTAAAATTACTTCTCTATTTTGGAAATCAGGGGTTATTACAAATGTAGTAGCGTGCGAGGATGTCCAGCGCGTAAACATGTGGAGCGCGCGTTAGATGACGCGTCAATGTTGACCGTGACTTATGAAGGCGATCACAGCCACCCACAGTCCGTCACCGACGCCACCGTTGCGGCCGCGCTTGTTTTAGAATCGTCCTAGTCAATGCACAAACAAAACAAGAGAGAAAAAGAAAGAGATAAGGGCCTACAAGATCAACGGTGAATATTTGCTATGATCTTAACGGTGAATATTTGCTATGATCTTGGACAAAAATGGTGGGACCCAGTGTTGATCGGATCAGAACCGTCCAAAACAAAGAAGACAATGATAATATAAAATATTTATGATGATGATGATGAAGATCTTGAAGTTGCATATGATATTATGTTAAACGTTTTGTCAACGGGTCAACTAAATGGAAAGTCCAAGGCAACTTCTCGAAGAAGATTAGATTGATTAGTGGGTGGTATTGGTGGGTTTACGTCATCTACCAAATACTGCATAAAAAATTGAAACTCCACCTTCTTCTGTCTCTTTTTTTTTTTTTTCTTTTTATATATTTATTCTTTTGTTTTTTAAAAATATTTTTTTGGGATTTTTTCTCCCATGCCCATTTTACCCTTTAACGTGGAAAAAAAATGAATTAAATTGATGTATTTAGTAATGACCAGAGTATATTAATGTTAGTAAAAGGCTGAAAGCTGTGGATTTGGCGGGAGTTGAATTAATTATTATAATAATTAGGAAAAAAGTCTCTCGTTATTATAGAGCTATTTTGGTAATTTGCTTTACATTTGCAGTAGGACTTCTTAGAATAAAGTGCCTTTTTTTTTTTCCTTGTATTAATTTAAATTTGTTTTGGTCTATTACGACGCGTAAGGCGGGATCATTTTAATCTGAATAATTGTTGGGAAATCCCATTCACTTTAACTTGAGTTAAACTCCACCTAGAGATGCTCAGAAATTAAAAAATACAAAATGGTAAAATAGATTCATTTTGCCATGAACTCACGTTATAAATAGTCCAAAATTCAATGGAACGGGTTAGTTGCCACTTGCCAATACAATAAATTAATGTAGGGAAGTGATACAAAGGACTTTTTGTGTGTTGAATGGTTGAGGATTGACCGCAGATTCATTCATGGTCAGTTTATTAAATCCTTACAATACATAAATACAACCCTTTTTTTTAAGTCAAATTGTGAATAGAAATTCTCAACCTATCAAGCTATAAAGCTATGTTTAGCTTGAGTAATATGATCTGAATTTTTATGATCTGAATTATTATGATCTGATTATTGTTATTAGGTAAAAGCTAACAAATGATTTGGGGCATTGGATAAGTTAATTAAAAGTAAAATATCAAATTAAAATGAACATTAATTACACCGATTGACGCATGATTTTGGCATGCATTTCTAAATTAAATATTACTTTAGGAAATATTTTAAATGCTTATCTAACGCCCCGAGGGCGTTCGTTAACAAGATCCTTATGATTATTTTAATTTGCAATGGTATCATCATAGTATTGACTTTCCGAAATGGTACACATTTATTTTTGTATTCTCTATGGTATTTGTTTCGGGCTTTTTTTATATCCTGCGGGAGAGTTACAATTCCGAGACTGGATCCGTGCGCCTGTACCTGCAAAACAACGGAGACTCCGGGTGGTGGGAGCTCCGCATCCGACGATCAAGTTAGTACTTGTATGTGGAGTAAAAAGTGCGGAAAGTAAAAGTGATCTGGTTCCTCGGAAGGGAGGAGTGATCAGGGTGTGCAATTAATGCTAAGCCTGATCTAGCAATTGGTATGCACGTGTGTTTTGGTTTCTCTTGGTGAGATGATTCTCCAATCCCCCCTTTAATGAGGATTAATGAATGTATTTATAGTCTTGGGAAGCGTGCCAATTCTACGTTTAGGTCAACTTAGGGTTGATTGAGCTTCTCCCAGAAATTGGGCCTAGGTGGCCGTTGTACCTGTTGGTATATGGAAGGCCACGTGGTGTGGCACAGTTGGTCCAAGGTGGACTGATCAACGCTTGACACGTGGCAGGCTCTAACTGGTCCTTATGGCGGACACTTGGCAGGGCCTGATTGGTCCATGTGTCTGATGATGATTGGACGAGGGAAAATCCCCTAATCATTTTCCCCTCACAGGTGGCACGTGATTGGTCACATGTCACCTGTGACAGGTGCCGGCTTGTAACAGGCGACGACCTGCTACTGGTGTTGTCCTGCGATTGGCCGAGGGTTTTTTCCTGCCTTTTTTTTGGATTTGGAAGTGACTCTTCAACTTCCACAAATTTTCGATATAAGGACCTTGACCAAAGTCTTACGTTCACACTCTGCAAACTTTGAAAGAGAACTCTCGGACCACTGAACTTGAGCTCTGATTTTCTGGACGATTGGTTTTACCATCCGCCTACTTTCCTTTGACGCCTATTTGATCAAGCTTTCTTTTCAGAACTTAAGTTTCAGGTAACCGTCTGCTCTTTTATCCTTTTCTGTTTTTCTTTTGCATTTAAATTTCTTTCTTTTTGAAAATGAGACCTCAAAAGCATCCGGCACGGCCTATGTTAGCAATCAGCCGGTCACCGGGGACGGCTGAGTCTAGGACTAGGGGTGCCGACTGCCTTGCGGTACTTGAATCTTTGCGCAAGTCCCGTAATCCAATTGTCTTTGTATCTATGCAGGACAGTATGGAAAGAACCAAAAAAACAAAAACGATTGAACATTTGGATGGCTCTTCTATCCGGGTCCATATTAGCGAATTATCGGACCAAACGCCCGGAACCCCGAGCACCCCTAGTGACTCCATCCTTGAATTTGAAGAGGGGTCTTCTGAAAAAGGGATGGCCATAGCCGGATCCTCTTCTGTAAGAACTGGTGACGAGTCTCCAGAGAAGGAGGCGGCCCCTTATGATTCTCAACAGATAAACCTAGCATCCGACTCTTCTGACGAGTCGGAGTCCAGCGACTCTAGTCGACACTCCCTATCTTTAGAGGAGAAATATTCTAGACTGGAGTCGGCAAGGCAGTCCCTATCCGTAGAAATGGGGGAAAAATGGGTGGAGCCGTCTGTCTCCTATAGAGAGTCACACACCCCGTTCTATCACCATGTTCTTGAAGGTAGACAGAAGGTGATGGAAGAGAAGTTAGGGAACTTCCTTTTTCAACACTTCATGGGAAGTGATTATTTCTTATCCGTCCCAGATAGGGAGGATAAGGTAGTATGGCCCGAGGCGGCCAGTTATGGAGACCAGTGCTTTGGGTGCTATGAGGCGGCCATTAAGGCGGGCCTTAGGTTTCCTCTTCACCCGGCTGTCGAGAGGATTTTAGACGGCTACCAGATTGGCCTTTGGCAGCTTGCCCCAAACTCTTAGTTCAACATACTAGGGTATGTTGTCGGATGTGAGATGCATGAGGTGGAGCCTATTTTTAAGGCGTCCACCCAAATGAACTACCTCAATCGGACCCCAAAAGCAAGAGGGACCGGCTGGTACCAAATTTCGAGCCATAAGGGCTATATGATGATCTTGGGCGGAGAATAAATGGAAGGACTGGCGCAATACCTTTTACATTGTTACCAGCAATGACCATGCCCGGAACAAGAAATACAACATATGACAGGGATCCTCCCTACCTAGCAGACGGCGGGGACCTGCCACCTGTTCCAAAGAAGGCCAGGCGAGAGATCTTGGACTCGGGCCTCTTCAAAGTTATTATCTAGGCAAACCCTGAAACTGGGGTGAGGGAGTCCATTCCACAAAATTACATACCCAAGTACAATTGGTTGTACGATGGGATGTACCTGGCCGCCTGTGGCCTTAGCGCAGAGATGCCGAGAGGTATCTGACCGCATGTTTTTATAACCGAAACACCCTGGCTTAAGTTTTGCATGGTTTCTAACTTTTTGTGGTGCTTTCTGCAGACGAGGCAATGGAGAAGGTTTCTGCCTCAAAAAAGGCTGCTGCTCAATACCGTTCGGCCCTTCTGGGCAAGCGCCTTGTAGAGGAGTCGCCTTTTTCCCGGGCTGCCAAGGTATAACTGTGATCCTGGACTTTTTGTGTGCAAGTTTCCTGTATTCATTGTCCTGACTACTTATCTCGTAATAACAGGATCCGGCTACCCCTTAGTCCGGGCCTGCTTCAAAGATTAGGAAGCAGACGGCTGGTGATACTAAGACTCTTAGTAAGGCTAGGAAACAGTCGGCTAGCAAGCCGGCTACCACTATGGCCAAAATTACCGGTACCCCGGAAGGTAGTCGGCCACCTAAGGGAAACCAGGCCGAGGGTAACTTCTTTTTCCTTGCTTAATTAAATCTCTTCTCATAATATCATTTTTTGGATGACAAGTAAGGTTGCTCCTTTTGTAGGCGACCCCCAGAAGCCATACCTTGTTCTTATGACTAAGAACATGCTGAACGTCGTCTCTCCTACTGAGAGGGAGACGGTCAGAGGTTACGGCACCATGAATATCGATGGTGTCCTCGTCCTTCTGGCCGAGGTAAACTTACTCATCTGTTGTGTATTTATCTTTTTAAAGGTTTTCGTTTGCGCGTACATGGTCTTCGCAAGCCTCTAGTTGAGAAGTCCAAAGAGGTAAAAGCTGCAAAGGAGCATGCGACCTCCACCATAGACAAGGCTATGTTCTCAATTTTTCAAAACGAAGTATTGACGACTGTTATCTTGTATGCGCAGGCGACTGCCAACCAGCAAACTAAAGCTGATTTGGATGCTGCCAAAAACCGAATCCAGGAGCTGAACCTTCAGGTCAAAAATCTCCAGGACAAGGTTGAGTCTCTTGAGGACGCTTCTAAGGAGGCGGACTCCTTGAAGGACAAAGTGTCTAAGCTAAAGCAGCGCCTGTTCAACCAGGAGAAGCAGCTGGCCAAAAAATACAAGTCCAAGGCTGACGAGGAGAAGGCGGCCATTGTCAAGGACATGATGGAAGACTGCAATAACATCATGAAGATGACTTAGTCGGCTCTCTATCCTGGCTTTGATTATAAGGCATGGTCAGACCAGTTCGTCGCCTGCACAAGGGAATATGATGAGAAAATCATAGGCGGCGGAGAAGGCGAGGAGGAAAGTGCCAAATCCTCTGAAGCTTCTGGGGATGAGAGGGAAGAGGAGAAGGAGGAGGGAGACGCCTTGAAAGAGCCTGCGCCTGCTATTGAACCCGGTCAGGAGGTCGTCTTAGAAGAGTAGGCGCCTTTGGTTGACACCAACCAGGCGGCTGATGATGTTGAGGCCGAGGCCCCTCCTTCCAATGTTTGAGCTTTCTAGTCTTTTCAACTTTCTTCGGCCTGCGTGACGTTTGTTTTTGTTTTATCCTTACTCGGCCAGGGGGCCGAGGTTTATGAATATTTTGCTGGTCTTTATGGCCGGTTGTTTATATATGAAGCTGGCGGCCACTTTTCGGTCGTCTTTGATCACTGAAGTTTTTTTTATTTTTTGCCAAGTATAGAGGCTCCTTGATATCCTCTTGCATGCCATACCGACTGTTTCGACTTGTATGTTTTTAGAATTTTGTAATTTTGCAAGCAAGGTTTAACAGGAACAAACTGTCTATGCCCCTGGAAGACTAGTTGTCTTGGTTCCAAATTGGCGACTAGTCGGCCATGTATCCAGTCGGTCTCCCAACGCATTTTAGGAAACACGTTAGGTTTGTTTAAGTTAGAAGGGAACAGGCCGCTTATAACCGAGCCGCCTGTTTGTTAAGTGGGAATAGTTCTTGAGCCCCCGTTTACCAAAAAACAGTCGA